TATATATCTCTAAGTCTACCAATCGTCCATGCTGTCCGGTGCCTCTGCTATTTTCCTTGAATCTTGAGCTCCTTGATAAAATCCAAAGAAGAATCAGCAATATTATTGGCTCTTCGTTATGATACCTAGAAAGCTCTTCGCTCAATGGTACCTAGAAAGCTCTTCGCTCAATGATACCTAGATTTATTTTTAAATTTAAGCACAATACTAGACTGGCGTCAAGATCTCATCAATTTACAGTTCAGCTGGCTAAACTAGTAGTTTATTTTTTCGCACTTCTCGCTTGTGGACCTCTCTTCTGGCTCAATGCTTTCCAGCCAATTATAATCTGAAAAAAAATTTAAATACTATGTCAGTCGCTGTCTACTGTACTCTTTTTTCTCCTGCCCATTATTAATGCTTCTGTTCCTAATTCCCCCACATCTTGTAACCTATTGTCTTAGGGAGATGGGACGTTCTGGCGTGACCCATTTAACATCGCTGATTCGGCGTGGCCGATTCAACAGAGGAATTTTTGGCAGAAGGACGATTAGGCGTCAGATTTTTACTTCGTCATTATAGTCAAATTTGTTCTCTCTCTCTCTCTCTCTCTCTCTCTCTCTCTCTCTCGTATAGTAGTTAACCCTAGAACACTAACCATGTGTATATAGTACCCAGCGCAAATTTTCCTATTTTTAATTACAATTTTCAGTACCCGATTTTCTTACCTGAATAATGTTTTCCAGTTCCTATTAATGTTAACTCAAAGTACAAAGTTTGAAGTGCCGGCATGTAAAATATTTCAAATAAAGATTTATATTTAATATATTTTTGATATTTTCAAAATCGGGTATGATATACCCATGGTTAGTAGTGGTGTAACTTTAATTGATGGTTAGTTTTCTAGGGTTAAATTAGCACTTCGTCCAATTTAAGAAAAATAGTAGTTGCAGGCATTTTTATATTTAAGAAAAAGAGTTGTTGGAGGCATTTTTATATTATATTTCTTTCAGTGTGGCTTCATATTTTTCAGTCGTCAAAGCCCGTTTATTCCAAATGGAAGCAAATATTTTATCAAAACATGGAAGAAAGAGAATGATACATGATGGATAACTTTTTCTTTTTGATGCAATGAACAAGAGAGATCTTGAATTAAAGTTTTGCCGATGTGAACAGAAAGATCGATGTAAAGTGAGATTACATATGAAGATTTTAATTTACATTATTCCATTAGTGTTTTAATAGGATCTTTAATTCCATAAATGAATAAAAAGTTATATCGAAAGTTGGGTGTTTTCAATGCTTTTATCCATTCTTGGGAGGTTGGGGGGTGCTTCTGGTCAAAGACAGTGACGTCGAAACAATCTGATGCCTAAACGACTGTACCGAATAACCCCATTATTTTTCTAACGCCGAGTCAGCGACACCAAATGGGCTAGGTAGAAACGTATCAAAACCCGTATTTTAGTGACTTTATTGCCTTGCTTGGGGGTGATACCGATTTTTTAAAAAAATAACTAGTTACTTCTATAACTTCTATGGTTTATCTTATTCGATCAAGGTCAGATCCCACTTGGATCAAGTATTCAGTGGTTGTTTTCAGTTAAGAATACGAGGCTTTAGAATTTTAAGATGCACTGAAACTGTTGGACAATAGACTTTCCTACCAAATGCACTGTACCGACTACCCCAGCCAATTCGCACGACTTCTGCACAATTAACAAAACACGCCGTCTCCCTTGTCAACCAGTGTGACACTTCTTGTCTTACATGACGAAAAACGTTTGGCGTACGTGATGACAACAAAGAAGAACAGGTAAACGAAAAGAAAAATTTAGAAGCGAAAGATTTGAAGATAAAGAAGAAAGACTGGCAAACAATGAATAGAATAACGGAATAAGAAAAAGAGAAAGAAGAGGAAAAGGAAATTGAAAGAAAAAAGGGGGAGTTAAGTAAAAAGAAGAGAAGGGAAGAAGAAAGCGGAGAGATAGAAAAAAAGTGCAAGGAAAGAAAAAGAAAAAATAAAGTAAAAGAAAGAAAGAAAGAAAGAAAGAAAGAAAGAAAATGATGAAGTAGAAAATTTTAAAAAACCGGAAAAGTAAAGAAAGCAAATGAAGTAAAAGAGAAATAGTAAAAAAGAAAGCAAGAAAGAAAGAAAATGAAGAAGTAGAAAAGAAAAAGGATAATTAAAGAAAGCAAATGAAGTAAAAGAGAAATAGTAATAAAGAAAGAAATAGTTAAGAAAGAAAGAAAGAAAGAAAGAAAGAAAGAAAGAAAGAAAGAAAGAAAAAAAGAAAGAAAAAAAGAAAGAAGAGGAAGAATTAAATCAAATAGAGGGGAAAGAAAATGAAGAAAAAGGAAAGAAAATTTAAAAGAGAAAGAAAGAATTTGAGATAGAAAAGCAAAAATTAGGAAGAAAGAAAAAGAATGAATGAAGTGAGGTATTGGAGAAAAATGCAGAGGATGAAAGAAGAAAAAGAGAAATAAATAAAAAGAAAACGGAAGGAAGTAGGAAAGAAAGAAAAATAAGAAACAAAATAGAAGAAAGATTTAGAAAAAATAATAAATCGAAAAACGAAGGAATTTTAAAAAAAAGAAGAAATTAAGAGAAAAAAATGAATCATTGGGAGAAAATAAAGAAGAAAAGAGAAACAGAAATACAAAGGAGAATAATAAATAAGGAGAATAAGATAAAGAAGAAAGGATAAAATGAGAAGAGATGAAGTAAAGAAAGAGAGGGAAAAGAAAAAGAAAAAGAAAAGAACGGGAAAATAAAGAAAGTAAAGAAAAGAAACAAAGAAACTTCAATAATAAAACGAAAGAAAAGATCCGTTATCATTGGCTTTTATTATTATCGAACGCTGTCGCCCATTTGATCCTTTCTTTGGAGTCTCACGTGATTTTAACAATTTTTGAAAACTGCGTCTGTTTACCAAGTTATGAAGAACGCTACGACAACCAGTAATTATTTTCCCCCCATGAACGTATTTATTTTATCCTTTCCCTTAGAGAGAGAGCCTCTGGATTTTGTCTAAAGACAGAATACAGCGGCCTCTCTTAAATCTTTTGAGGGTTTGACAAGTTCAATTAACATCAGTTATCTTTATTTTGTTTGTTTTGATATTTTTAGTTTGTTTTGGGGGCTCATCCCCACCACCCTCTCATCGCGTATCATTTACAAATGTGTATATATAAATTTTTATGCTGATTAAATTTTTATGTAATGGGGTGTCTTTTGTAGGTTCCCTGAGTGTATGCGGGAATATTGTATATGGAGGATTGAACGATGATGAATGAGTTCTTGTCGGGAATGTGTAAATTGTAACGAGTGAATGGGTTGTGAATTGCCTAGCTAGATATATAAGGGACGACCAGCCTCTCCTCATTTTAGGCTTTCTGCCAAAATTGTATTTTATTTACAATAAATCTCGACAACAAATGACTATTGATGGTTTCTTCCATGGTTTCCCTGCTGACCCCAATTAATTTCCGACTCTTCACGTCGATGGTCTGCAAGATTGTCCGAGTATTAACGGCGTCCAACGCCTCTGGAATCGTGAGGAACTCATTTCCCTTGACGAATTCCTCAGACATTAATCTTAATTCGGCATATTAAACCACGCCTTTCATCTTTGTCCTGTTTTCACACCTGACCGTTTTGTTTACTTCGCCGTTCACCGGCGGTGTCACGTTAGCGTCACTCATTGGCAGCACTAATTTAGTGCTGCCAATATAATTCTCTTTTCTTTTTTCCTTTTATTTTATAGCACATTTTTTTTCTTTATTTCTTTTTTCCTTTTATTTTATAGCACTAATTTAGTGCTACCAATATAATTCTCTTTTCTTATTTCCTTTTATTTTATAGTTTCACATAAATACATAAACAAATAAAACTAAAGAAAACCGGGCTAGAGTCGCGAGTGGGCAAACAAAACAACAAAACGTAACAGAACTTGGCTTTTCCAAAAAAAAAAAAAAAAACAAGTCACACATAAAAAAATACAAAAATAATTTTTACGTCATGGGGTGTTTTTTAGGTTCCCTGTGTGTGTAAGGTATTGTGGTATTGAATGATGATCGATGCCTTCTTGTGGTGGATGTGCAAATTGTAATGAATTAATGGCTCGTGAATCTGATTAGCAAGGTGTAAGATGGTGTCGACCAGTCTCAAATCATTCCTCCTTTTAGGCCTTGTGCCACAATTGTCGTATGATGTTATGCGCAATAAATCACGACAATGGGTAACTATTTAAATAGTGACGGGCGTTTTATGAAAGTAACCGTCTTCTCTGCCTGCATTCATTAAATTACATTCAATACATACTGAGATTATTGAATTAAGTAAATTGATCGACTGATTGATTCGTTTTTTTACGGCTTATCAACCCATTGCAGGTTATTTAAAGACAGAATTTTTTTGAGATAATGATTCAATGATACAAGTCTTACTAATTAACCCCTAGTTGGGGGGGAGAAGTGGTGGATTCATATATTTCCCAAGTGTAAGTGAATAGGATGAACCTGACTGGAATTGAAGCCCTGCTCTCTGATTTCCAACCTGCAGCTGTTATCTATTACACAATGATTTTAAAAAGAAATTAGCATAAAAAATATTAAAAATAAAAGATGATAATAATCTATTCTGTTTTGTATGGATGACCATTCAACATTTTTTAATCTCAGATCAAAATGTAGTATCTGTTTGATCCAGGACTCTTTTGAGTTGGGATCAGTTGCACTTTTGATTGATTGATTGATTCTTTTCTACGGATTATCAACTGGTTTCAGGTTATTTAAAGCCAGAAAATGTTTTTAAATTGTAAGAATTTGGGGGTGGAATAATAATGGTTTAGTGATAATTCTTAATTAACCCATAATTGGTGGGGAGAAGACGTGGTTTCATACCTTTTCCAAGAGTATTTGCGCGTTGAGGAATATAATGAAACCCAACTGGAATTCGAACTCGGCTCTCCGATTAATAATTCGGAGTCATTATCTATTACACCACCCGCACAATCAAGCTTACAGCACCTGGTATTCCCAAGAGATCACCTATCTAGGTACTGACCAGACTCGACGTTGCTTAACTTCGGTGTTCGGTGTTTTAAAAGTAATGTGGTCGTTAGCCTGAATTAAGTATAGAAAACACATAAAAGTAATTATAAAGGGGAGATAACTCCAACGTCTTGATTCACTACTTCTTAATCCGCATAGACAATAGTCCAGTAAGATGACCACAAAATTCAATACAGCCGGTAAAATACCATACAAAACGCTGTACGGAATGCGTAGGCAAAAAAAAAAAATAGCAAAATGCTAATTGCAATTAATATAATTCCGGACCCTACTGCATTAGTCAGAACATTGACGACTCAGAATGAGTGGGAGTTGTTTGAACGCCTTGGGCATAGAGTACTGAAAGAGATGGATTGCATTAGACTAAATTTGCATATGTCTGAAAAAACGTGCAGAAATATAGAGTTCTGTTGCGGCAGTCGAAAGTCAATAGTTCTCATATTCACCAGAGACTTCCTCTTCCAGAATCCCGTTCTCTTGTTGACCTTTCTCCCCAGTAAAGTCTTCTCATTTTCTTTTAGTCCCAGCAACTCCTTACGTCTTAGTGACATTATCGCCATCTTCTGTCTTTCTGAATTCTATTCTTTTGTTTTCCTAAAGTCATCTCATTCTCTTTCAATCCCAGTAACCCCTTACGTCTTAGCGGCATTATAGCCATCTTCTGTCTTCCTGAAACCTGTTCTTTTATTGTCCTTTCTCCTCACTAAAGTCATCTCATTCTCTTTCAATCACAGTAACCCCTTGCATCTTCGTGGCATTATCGCCATCTTCTATCTTCCTGAAACCTATTCTTTATATCATTCTCTTTCACCCCCAATAACCTCTTGCGTCTTAGTGGCAATATTGCCGTCTTCTGTCTTCCTGAATTCCATGCTTTTATTGTCCTTTCTCCTCACTAAATTCCTCGCATTCTCTTTCACTCCCAGTAACCCTTTTGCGTCTTAACGACGTTATCGCCATCTTCTGTCTTCCCGACATCCGTTTTTTTATTGTGCTTCTCCTCCCTAAATACTTATTCTCTTTCACTCCCAGTAACCCCTTGCGTCTTAGTGTCATTATCGCCATCTTCTATCTTTCTGAATTCTATTCTTTTATTGTCCATTCTCCTCACTAAATTCTTCTCATTATCTTTCACTGCCAGTAACTCATTACGTGAAATGATTTTAAAATAATAGTATCACAGTTATGCTTGACAGATGCCTGACTTTAATCATTTGTCATGTCCCCTAAACGCTGACACACTGCGCAGCTCTATTCACAAGCGTGTGTCGTGAGGTAGCATTATGACCGAGTATCAAAAGTGTTGTTTTTTTCTTTAAGTTTTAAAGATAAGGCATCCAAGTCGACTTAGGTATCATATCTATATAGTTGGGAACACCCTTGATCAAAGCAGATCTGAGCAGACTGGGTTATCCAACCTGGGTTTCCCCTACAAGGTTATGTGCTGCTTTTATCAATTCTTGCCCCCAAATTGCTCACATTTCCCTGAGATGCGTGTACCTGGTATACCCTTATAATACTGAGCGTTATGACGGATACATTAGGATTTTTATATTTGTACTCTTTGTTGGTACGTTAGACTCTAACTCAGTAATAATAATAATACTGTTGATTATTTACACTATTTACATGCGGACTCATTTTTGTTGTTGTTATCACAACGTTTCGGCTGTTGAGCCCTCCGGCCTTCATCAGGTGCCTGTCGATCCAAGTAACCGACAAGGAATTTCCAACTGAACCCTTTATTTAATCTACGTAGACTGTTCTCGTTCCACTGTCCACGTCTAGAGATATCTCGTCTAGTTCTTATTTTTAGTAAGGTGCAGTTATCGCTCGCCCTGTTTCTACTGAGTTCAAGTACACACTATCCGGCCCAGGGATTGAACTCAGAGCAGCAAAGATGAGGGCAATGTAAATAGTGTAAGTATTGATAACTCCTCATCTTAGAAACTCAGACAGAAAATAATGTTCATGCTGTGTTGTAACGTAGGGAAGGTTACTGAATAGAATAATCATACGAAGGTTGGTAATGAACGACAATACTTAGGACAAGAACAACACATATAAGATTCGCCGGCGGCGCGTAGAAGTAGTCAACTGCTAGAAGTGAATCAAATAAATTCCACAAATAAAACATGGTCGGGTAGCTGTTTTCCGAGACGAGACTTTGCCTTTCGACATAGCCTCGTCTGGGGATCCAATTCCAGTCGGGTTCATCCAGTGTCAATCTGGAGAGAGTTTGACCAGCACAACTGGAGATGAATCTCCAACTGCAGACCAACATACAGTATTTACTACTGTATTTTTGTGAATGGGGACATACCCATTATCGTCCGTAGGTATACTACAACATATGTTCTGTGTGTGTGTCTGTGTGTGTGTGCAGCAAGAATCCATTTCAACAGTTGTATTAAATTCTACTGCATTCCAATTTTAGGCTTGTGTACATTGAGTCTTTCGTTGCCTTGAGTGTTGTGTCGTCCTTTGGCTATTATTTACTAATCTAACATATTATTTGTGTGTGTTATGCTTCCTGCCTTGTATCCTGTAGAGCCGGGTTCAAACTATGGTCCTTAGGCCCTACAGGCGAATTGTCATTTAATTGATTGTGGCACCATGCATACCTGACGAGCTGAAAGAAATATTCATAGATATATGATTTGTTTTTTACGGTTTATCAGCCATTTAATAATTATTTAAGGCCGAAAAATATTTTGGGTTTTAAGAATAATTCTTTCTTTACATTCAAGCGATCTGGGAGAAAGAAAGGGTAAACGAAGAAGAAAGAAATAAAAAATAATACGAAAACAGGTCATAGGCGAGCACACACGGACACAGCTGATAGATAGCAGGTGTCGAAAAATATTCAGGTCACCTGCAAACAAGCATCTGACCGATTTTCGCGGGTCCACGAAAAATGGAAGTTTGTTATCAATTGGATGTCAACCAAGGGAAAAGAAAGAAAGGAGGAAAAGAAGAAACGAAGTTTAGGGACAATTAAAATATTGATAAGTAACAAGTGGGAAAGTGTGTCGTTGGAATGATAGTAAGGGTCTAAGTGGGTGGGGAGGTGTATCTAAGGATATGAAGACAAACCGTTAATACGAAATCAGACAGTCTTCAGAATTAGAAAAAGCCCACACAAGATGTTGTCACTGGCAAAATTTTTCTTTTGACAGAATAAATGCCGGCCCTGCGATAATAAAGATTTTTGTTATCAGACCTTCGAGCGGAGAGAAAATGAAATATTTTTATTCCGCTTCAGAAACGCCAACGAGTCTGAGAAATTCCTTTCTTAGATCATATCCAATTAGCGATAAACTGCTTGACAAATACCACGTGTTAAAAAGCCGAGAGTGTCATCTCAGTCGCTCATGATAAGGGCGATTTAAATTAATATTTTTGTTTTCTAAGCAAGGTAATTCTTTCCCAAAACAAAGCCACAGATTATCCACGCCCGACTAAGACGTCATTGGTTAAATAGATCACATGACATATGAAGGAGGAGGGACGATAACCGACCAGGACCTCATTGGCCGAGAGCGGTCACGTGACGCACGAGGAGAATCGGTCGACGCTCCTATCAGAAGTATAAGTGTGAGGAGCCGATACGAAGAAGTGGGGAAGCGGGTACACGCCCCTCAAAGGCACAGTAAGGGAGTGGGAGTGAGAGCGAGTTACCGAAAATGGAAAAGAATGAAAAATCCCTAACCAGAAATAAGAAGGGTGGATACGTATTTAGAATTATCGAAGAACCCCTGGCGCCGACAGACCCACCCCAGTTTTGACGGCGTCAATAAAAACGAGACCCCAACCGACAGAAATCAGTTCAGCCGCGGGCGGAGTGGAACCGCGGACGGCAGCCCGAATTCGTTCGCCCACTTTGCGGGCAGGAGAGGCCAGTCCGTTTGGCCTAGTTCGTCCGACCCAAGCCGAAGAGAAGAAGTTAGTTCGCGCACCGACGGCGGAGATGAGTGACCAGTAATTCAGACTCTGAAGAGGAAGTTCAGTTCGTTCGACCCAAGCCGGAGAGAAGAAGTCAGATTGAGCCGCGGACCCTGGCGAGAAGTTTTGAACCTTGGACGACAAGCAGAGATGAGCGCCCAGTGTTGAAACCGCGTCAAGATAGCTGACCAAGATTCACGCACACTTCTGGACTCTTCTCCAACCAAGAACAAGTAGTTTGAAGAGCGACTTAGAATCAAGACCACAGAAATAAGTTTTTTCGACTTTCGTCCAAAGACACACCGAAACACAAATTTCTTAGAGAGCAGACAACTTGAAGCCTTAAAGTTGCCTAGTAAAAGCGTCGTGTCACAATCCACAGAACGGGTCGGGAAGTAGACATAGTCCTATGTACCGAGCAAATAGACATAAAAAGTTTGTTACCTTTTTCTTTGATACTTTGGACCTTGTGAGTTTTTATTTTATTTTCTTTTATACATAATTGTGTGTTATCACCCCCGTTGAACTCAACTTGCATTACGGTCCCAACCCCTGTTTGATCTCGTCTGTCTAAGATCAATTCACAACGTGGGTAGGCAGACTGGAGATCAGTGCAGTTACCCTGGTAACCAGGCGTTGGAAGCGGGTTGGGAACGGCGAGGCTGGTATCAATCAAACCAAAGGGTTAGAACGTCACGTTTGGAGCAGCGAGGAGCGAACAGCTGACGCCGCGGCGAAGACGTCACAGATAGCACTTTTCTTAGTATATGGGATGTTCCTAGTAGGGCGATCTTCAGGGTAAATTTTATGTTGATGTTACCTGGGAGACTGTTAGTAAAATTGTCCATTCCTTTTCTCATGTGACCCAGTGCCCCGATTACTATTAGTACAGTCTCAGTCTTCATTCCCCACATCCTGTTAATCTCGATCTCCAGGTCCTTGTATCTGGACAATGTCTCGATAATTTTCATGAAGGTCTTTCTCTCAGATGGTATGTCTATGTCAATAAGCATACATTTCCTGAATTTCTTGTTTTTTATGATAATATCAGGTCTGTTAGTTTTTATTTCCCTGTTAGTTTGAATTGTCATGTCCCAGAGG